CTAGGTTATTGTTTTTCTTTGAAATAAATATTCATGTAATTTTATTGGTATCTATCTTCATTTTTTACATTTACCAGTAGCTGCCTCATTTCCCACCCTAGGCTTATACTCGAGTCAATATTTTTCCCCAGTTCTTTGTGGTAAAATTAGGTGCGTCGGCTTATATTCGGGTCGGCTTATACTCGAGTATATACGGTAAAGGTTAAGGGTAAAAAAATTCCCACCACCTACCTGGATGTGCAATGGCCATGTCTCGGCAACTGGGACAGTACATAAAAGGAGGCATAGCCACTGCACTGATATAGATATCTCTATGGTTTTCATCACTCATCATCATGTTCATCAGGAGGCCATTGGCTGAACGGGTACTGCCGGGACAAAAGAAATAGTGGTCATTCCATTTACATTTTTGCATTTGTAATTTCTGGCTTCCAAACTCAACTCCAAACCTGTTTTAAAAGTATCCGTCAGACTTCCAAACCCTCAAATTAATCCTCAATCAATTCAGTGACATTTAATCACTTGATTTAATCCATGGTAACAAAAGGTTATAGTGCTCTACTAAATTCCTAAATTTAATTTGTAACTCAGAAGTTTAGAGATTGTTTGTATTCTGCTAAGCTGTTCCCCAATTTTTCAAGTCAGCATCTGATTTCCTAGATATTTATCATTGCTAATATGAAACAAAAAGTATAATTTAGAATGCCACTAAACAGAGTAAGTCTGCAGAAGGATATAGCAGATAAAGGTTTCAAACTCAAAGCTTATTTTACTAAAGAAACATACTTGAAACCAAAAACGATGACCTTAGAGGAATCACTGGGCCATTCACATACAGTCAAGTAAAGGTCACTATAGATTTCTTCATCCTGGAATAATCGGACCTGGCGGACCTGAAGGAACAAGAACATACGTATTAGATCACAGATGTACCTTGAAAAGAGATTATTAGAATGTACAATAACAATGATAAAAACCTTATTAATCTAGAACATTAATTCCAATGTGCTTTATGGTTCTTTTGCCCTGTATCAGAGAATTAACTGTTGCCAAATGTAGCTACATGAAAAAGAAAACCAAACATTAAAAGACATCTAATGCAACCTGTTATGGCTTGCTAGTTACTTAGCATTTGCCAAGATTATGAAACAGGGCCAAGCTTAATCTGACTAGACAAAGTTTCTGATCTATCTTTTTTTAATTAAAAACTTGATTTTTTTTAAATTAAAAAAACCAAATAAATAAATTGGATCTCATTTTTTAAAACTTAAAATGTTAAGTGATCTTGGTTACAACCTCTACAAAATCTTGTACTTTCTCATGAAGAAACACTGACATATAGGCAGGTTTGCAATATTTGGGCATTTGTTTTTAATTTAATTTTTTACTAATGCTATTGTTCAATAAACTAGTACAGTGGTGGTGAACCTATAGCACATATGCCAGAGACACCACGCAGAGCCCTTTCTGTGGGCATGCGTGCCATCACCCCAGCCCTGCCTCCCCCCACAGCCCCCTCACCAGCAGCACCCCAGAGGAGAGTCGCCCCTGGCGCGGCCCACATGGAGCAGCGCAGCCAAGGACATGGCAGCCGGGCAGCAGGGACAAGATTCTGCCCTCGTGCCCCATCACGTGCAGATGATGCTGCCGGGCGCAGGCAGACGGTGTGGCCGCCATGGCGCTGCAGGGCTGCCTGGGCAAACTGCTGCGGCGGGCCGTGGAGGCGGTAAGTGGCCCTGCAGGCGGGCGGGGTGGAGGCTGGGGCAGAGGCGGGTGGGGCAGTTTTTGGGCACTCGGTATCTAAAAGGTTCGCCATCACTGAACTAGTATAATACACTATCTGGTACACTAAACTAGTATGTACATGGAAAGACCAACATACAAATGACTAAAGCTGTTTTATATTTTATAAAAATGCTAAAGAAGTTTGAGATTATTTTTGCTAAATTAGATTATAACATCCAATGTAATTTGTAATAGTTCTTCAGAAATGTTACCAATCTAATTTGTCAAAGCTCAAACTATAATTTATATTAGTGAAAACTGGTATTGGAAGGGAAAGTATCAAGCACAAATTCAGATAGATAAATAGATGAAAATCTAGTACAGAATTCAGCAGTTCAGAATATGCTACAGCTATGGCTTTATATCAGGGGTTCCCATCCAGGGGTGCTCACACCCCCTGGGGGTGCGAGACGATACTCCAGGGTTTGGATTTGGGGTGGAATATCGGGTTTGGCTTTTCAAAAGTATAGTGTATATGCATAATTCGTTGCTGTTATTTCAAATTTTTGCAAGGGGTGCGAGAATATATCAGAAGCGTTTTAGGGGTGTGGGGTATAGAAAAGGTTGGGAGCCGCTGTTTTATATCAAGATATCTAAACTGCCTCTTCTCATATAAATTTGCCTCATATAAAAAGAGGCTCAGTCAATCATATCACCAAGGTTATATCTACGTGGGCTTACTGAAAAGTTACTACTCAATTAGCTGTCACGAGAAGTTACAATCTTACTACTTCCCCCTGCCCCACTTCCTACAAAATGATTTTCCTTAAAAAAACAAAATTCAAGACCATAATGATTTACCCCTGCAAGTGGTTTGCAAATGATTTTTTTTAAAAAATAAATCCGTTTTTTCAGAATTATTCTTCAGAACTGAAGAAGCTTCTTGAATGAGAAGCGAAGCGTCTTCAAACAAAAAACAAAGAAAGTCCAGTTGCCTTTTGAAAAAGCACCTTTAGAAGAACCATTATCTGGATGACTGACTATCTCCACAGAAAGAATTATTTTACTTTATAATTTGGCACAGTCATACAGAAAAGAAGAAATGTAAATCTACTAAATGATTTCTTGGGGGGGGGGGGAAGGAATGACAAAATATTGCACATAAAAACTTGAAGTAAAAGCTATGCCTATTGTTATTTTGGAGATATTTCTGTTTGTAGTTGTTCTTTCTGTGCTATCTTTAATATCAGCTACTATGATGTTTAATCTCCTCTATATATTTTGTTTAAAATGTAACTGTTGTCTAGTCTAGTCTAAAATTCTAATGGTTTTTTTTTAAACCTTTGGTAGTGCTATCATCATCTAGCAGCTTATTAATACAGTTATGTTCGACTGCTTTATGAGTTATAGCTCTTTGTTTTAAAGCAGGGGTGTCAAACTGCCGGCCCATGGGCTGGACGCATCACAATGAAACCGTGTCCATCCCATTGCCGGCAATGGGGAAAAAGCTCCGATACGTTGCGCGACGTCACATGACATCGCGAGTTTGACATGTCTGTCTTAAAGGGAAAAAAAGAATACCACAAACACTTATTAGAAAAATAAAATTCACTCTCGAATAGATTACAAAGAAGCTTCCTATCTAGTTTTGAATGACATAAAAGTAATATCTGAATATTAGAAACAAACACAAATGTCCTGTACCAGGTTTTCTTGATTATCCACCAGAAACAAGCAAATAAACTGCAAACATGAGGCATTACCATTTGCATTTCTAATATGACATTAAAAAAATTTGTTAGGCAAACTGAAGCTCATAATACCTACATTTCAAGAAATCAAAATACTATGGTCACTAGGAAATATACTACTACATAATAGCAAAAATCTAGCAGGGACATTCCACTACTGTACCTGTTACTACTCTGCTCTTCTCACAGATTAGAGCATCCAACCATTTTATACGAGTACATACAAAACTCTACACATTTACATTTGCAGCTTCAGTGCAAAGAAAAACATTTTATTGTTTCAAATCTTCTATCTTTTGAGCTGTTTGAAATTTTCAGAGAGCAAAAATTAAACTTGGGCTTAATACAAAAGGTCAAACCTTGTAACTGTATGACATAGATATTTTAGTCCTGTATATATAATGTGTAGTGCGATCCATACCATTTTTAGTTTGCTGTGAACATTAAACTCCCACCAATAGAGATGGTAGATGTAAAAAGAGAAATCGTCATCTCCACTGCTGCTAGTGTAAGACAAGACGTATCTTCCACACTTAGAGAACCCAAGGAAAATGTGTCTGCAAGACAAGAAAAAGCAAGCCAGGGTGAGACTGCAAGATTTTCAAATAAGTAAGGTACATGAGCAGTTAATCACCTCACACCAGGGAACATAACTAATCCATAGCAAGTAAAAAAAAAAGATTTGAACATAAACTTACCCAGCACATAGGAAATGTTCATCAACAATGCTCTTCAGAGACACACAAACCCTGGGTGGTAGCTTACGAAAGAGACGAGGTGACAACTGACCATTGATCTGTAAACAGGCATCAAAAGATCTTAAATACATACATATTCCCTTTATGCCACACTAACCCAAGTTTTATTATGATCTTTGGCCAGCATATGCACATCTATACATGTGTGTGTGTGTGTGTACGTACATACATACATATCAAAATAAATGAAAGTGTTTAGAAAAAAGTGGATTAATTTATCAATATATCAAGCAAATTTGAGTAGACATTACAATGCAACAGAACACATGCTCAATGGGAATCATAGGGACAGTGATTCATGGAAGGGATTTATTTAGGTATTTACAATCAATGACTCCTAAAGGGAGTACACTGAATCTAGCCAGAACAAATGCCTTCCAATGTCTACTATTAATTAGGGATTGGGAGTAATCACTTGGATTGCTTGTAAAAGACAGTCTCCAACACTGAGGTTGCCTTGATGCTAAACTAACATCTTGTTGCCATTCTGTGTCTAGAATCTTTCTTTCAATGAACTTTTTGCCTAATCATATCCCATCCTTTGTATTGCCTTATTAGATATGCAATAGGCTGCCAGTTTTTATCTGATGGCTATCTTCCAAGTAGACTGGAAATTATCCCTGTTCACCAGAAATTTCAGACTGTTAGGTTAAACAGTGATTTTAGCCCGTACTTAAAGGTAACAATCTAGCTCCTATCCTTATAATTCCTTATAATGACATGACATGCAACTGGTTGTCATAATTAAACTTAAAAATTTGGATCTGCAGCTAAGTAAGGTCCCAGTTGAATCCCATATAGTAGTGGTGTCAAAATTTTAGCCTCAAACAGTTTTTAATCAATGTAGTGTCCACTTCAGAGGAACAAAAGGACAGCAAAGTGGTGCCACTCCTTTGAGCAACCCAGGTATGGGACTATGTCCTGATGAAATGAAAAGTAACTCCCAAGTAGTCAAAGCATTTGACTTCTTCTATGTTGCTGCCTTTAAGATACTTATTATGAATTTTAGATCATTTGTTAAAGGTCATAATTTTTGCTTGTTGATAGTATCATTTTTTCTTCATATTGTTGAACAAAGGATCTCTATACATTCCTATCACAGACAGCGATCAAATAATCATAAAGAAAATGTGTATATTGAAGATGCCTTTGTTGACACATTCTATAAGTGAGTTTACATAAAATTAAAAATTGACCTCCTCTCCACTCGTCCCCTTCTCATACCTCAAGTAACTGTGAATGAATTAGTAATAAAAAGACAAAAAATGTGATCCTCTTATACAAGAATCATTTAATGAAGTTAACTTAAAATACATTCAAGACTAATTAAAAAAAGAACATCAAGCAAGGTGGGAAGTTATAAAAGTTACACTATACTACTCGTAGCATAATCGCCTATGTTATTTTATTTTTATCCTATGCACATAGTTCCTATCCTCACACAATCATGCCTAATAGGTTACCCAGAGAAAAAAATAATTTGGCCATAATTAATGGGGGAATGATTGAACTAAGTTGGAGTTTTGCTGGTTCAAGCTCTGAAGGTATGTCCAGAAGCCCTTTATTTAAGACAATGTACTATGTTAAAAAACAAGATCACAATTACAAAGAAAAAAAGAAAAAAATGGACATCTGGGGAACAAATCAACATCATCTCAAACATACATCAAGGGCCCACCACCCAACCTATCCAAAAACCTAGATCTTTGAACATTGCTAGGATACAGGAAATATAAATCTTTATCAGTGTAGCTCATAGAAAAGAGGTGATACATGAGCATATCATGGCATGTCCATAAGTGTGCTGCCAAATTCTGGATCAGTTTCAGCTTTCAAGTAGTCATCAAAGAGCAGCCATGCATTATTACAACAGTATATACGCAAGATGACTATGAAAGTATGAGAGAAAGTATGAGAACTACCTGATCAAGAAATGGGAATAATTAATTCACAGAATAAATCTATGGGAAACTCTTCCTGACCATAGCTGCCACCTGCTCTTTAAGTAGGAGTTGAGTCCCAAAAAAAAACCCACCCAATATGTGCACCAATTTCAAATAGGAAAGTGCAATGCCATTCATGACTAAAGATGGAAAATCTTAAGTTACAGGTAGTTCACTACCACTCTATCTTGTTATAGTTGAGCTTGAGTGTCCTCATCTAGATCCCCACAGCTATCAAACACTGGGAGCATACCTCAACAGCATTATTTGGTTGCTTACAAGCCATCTCTGTTCCAATCTGAAACATGACTGAAGCAGGTCCACATAATCCATTTCCTCCAAGGCCCTCTCAGGTTATAGCCTATTTTCTCAGTGAACCTTCCAAGAAAGGGAAGGTTAAAGACTGGACAAACTTGTCCAGAACTGTTGGATCCAGGAGTTGATATACCATTGCCTCCTTCAAAGTCAGCAGAATTATCACCATCACCTGGAACTCAATACTACTATATAGTATTGAATACCAATAAGCAGGTATTCAATCAAGAATTCTGTCCATTTCCTCAGAAGTTAAACATTAAAGCTTATCTCAAGTAACCAGGCAAGACCATGCTTCCATCATCTCTGCAAGACTTGCCCAATTGTAGTTCAGGTCTGAGTGGATCTGAGTGATTTTATCCACCAGAAACTATTGTTTACTGTGGCTATGCATATGGCCTTATGACTCATCTTTTCTCAGGAGGGAATCGGTCACCTTAAAAAGAGCAACTGTCTGGCTATCGATGGACACAACAGCAGAAAAACAATATTTTGCCACACTTAATGCCACAGTGTATTCCTTGATATGGGCTTTCATTTGTGCTTGGTTCAATTCACTCTTGGTTTTCCTCCAACAGTGCTCTAGGCATTTCTTCTGGTGTTTCATTCCCTGGAGTTCCTCAGAAAACCAGGAGCACCACAGGATCAATGCACAGTGAGATTGCATAGGAGCAATCTGATCCAAAACTTTCATCAAATGTCCATTTTGGCAATAACTAAGACCTCAACTGAACTGTCCACCAGATCCTCTGGGACAAACCAGAGGGAGGGAGAGGGAGGAGGACAGTGATTATAGGTTGAAGAGCAACCACAGAGTGATAAGACCATAGCTAAGGACCAACTGTAGTTGCAACATCATCTTCCACTTCCAGATTATGCTTTAAGTACACCAACAACAAAAACCACACCTTGTGTGCAACACCTGGCACACATTGGGCCTTCAATAATTAGGGGCACATCACAGGATCCTCCCCAGTTACTCCTGCACTCAGCAACGGAGGAGGTGCCACCTGCCTTGGTCAACCTGTCAACCGACCTCTCCCTCTCTTCCCTTCTCTTCCCGGTCCTCCACAAATATAAACCATTGTTGGTCACAGGTTATGTCCAGGTCAATGCCCTCTCCGTTTCCCCAGTCAGCACAGAAAACAAAGTCAGGTCAAGCCAAGAGTCCCGCGTAACAGAACCTGGCAAACCAGAACTCGAGACTGATAAAAGAAAGGAAAAGATCAGAGAGGGGCTGAAGGCCTTAAGGCCGATAATAAGCATTCTCTCACCTCGACTCCGCTCGCGGCCCCCCAACTTCTTCCTACCGCTCCTCGAGTACTTGCTTGCTGTAGACTAGAGCCTCGTGGGGGAACCCAGGCGCCCCCGGTGCCAGAGAGCGACTCCAGCTGAACCGCCGACAAACCGAGTATGAGCCACGCAAACTGCTTTCACCGTAATCCTCGAAACAGCTTTGTCAATGCCTTTCTTCCTATAGGGGCATTAATTCCACGCTGGCCCTCCCTCGCCGTCTGCCTCTCCACCCTGTGGGTACCTTTCCAGCAACAACACCCAGACACATCCGTCCCTTCCCTCTCCAGTGGCTGCTCCCGCTCACCTTGATGCGCTCGAGCTGCCTAACGACGTGCTCCCGCCGAGCCCCGCGCCCCAACTCCGCCGAGCCCCGTTTTCCTCCCGAGGCGGCGCCCCGCTCCGATTTCGAGCTCGGCGCCATTTTCCTCCACCTCCTCAGCCGTTCGCCGCCACTGCCCCCTCTCCTCCGTCGAGTGAGCGCCCACGCCGACGCTATCGCGCCCTTGCTAATTGGCCAGCCTTCGCACGTGAGCCAGCGTCAATTAGCGCTTGCTCGGAACTTCATTTCGTCTCTCAACTGCCATTGGTCAATATAACTGTCTACCATCCACAGTACCTCCCTGTTCTCACCTCACAGATGAGCAATGTCACAAGTGTAAGCGCGCGCTCACTCGTGCCAGATCTTTCGCTGGATTTCAATTGGCGAAATTGCCTTTCAGTTTCGGAAGGGGAAGCGAATGGGCGACGCCTCCCTTAGGTCTCAGAGGCAACGCAGGGTAGAAAAAGACCTAGAGAAGGAAAGTGTTATGTTGCCATAGTAACATGGCTTGGCCTGGCCATCCTGTCAAGCAAAGACCCCAGCAGAGTGTACTCTGGACTAAAAAACAGGATGTTATTGAGTTCTGAGGTATTTGAATGTGCGTCTGTGGTTTCACCTGAGACCATATTAAACAAAACAATAAAAGCTTAATGCATGACAGAGAGCGAGTCTAACCTTCTGTAATTTAACTGATCTCCTTGCAGAGGACCGGATGTTTAGCAGGCCTTAAATTCTGCAAAACAGATGGTAAACCGTTTGATCCTCCTTACTTTGCATACTTCTATTTAATCTGGTCTTCATAAGGAATTATGTAATCGTTACTTGACTTAACTTGCTTTCTTTTATTTTATGGACCTGCTTCTATTTGTAATGCCATGATAACATCAAGAATTATAAATACTGACACAAACTTCCTAAAGCTAACCCATTTTATATCATTTATTTGTTTAAGTGTATTTTGTACTGATCTGAGAGCCCAAGGTAAATCACAGTAATTCTTTGTGTTACAAATATTTATTTCTCCCAAACTGCACATGCCTCTACTTGGTCATTATAAAGGATGAAGAAAGTTCTTCTTAGTCTAAATAGATGTGTGTTCTTAAAAATGCACATACAGATTGATGAATATGAGTACTAAACTTGTTTAAACAATTCACACTTGGTACTCACCGCTGTTACACTTTAGACCTTTTGTGCTACCTACCCTATCTAACTTTTTGAAACAAAACATGTTTAACTACAATTAATGGAAGTTG